CAACCCCCCCCCCCCCCTCCTCCCCCAAGGCTCCGAGCAAGACCAATAGCAAGTAATAACCCCTGCTATATGTACTCCATCACATAAAGGGGCATAATCAAACCAAACAAGATAGTCATACCCAAGAAAACTAGTCAAAATACTTCGGGAAGAAAAAAAAAGTAAACTAGCAATTTCGATTAACAAAAGCCTATCACAGACACCTCTTTTGAAACCTCAAGCAGTGAAAGCTCCGTAAAAGGCACTGAAGAGAAAGCTCCAAAAATGAAATCTACCTCCCATATCTGCTAAATATGTGCTCCAAGTCACGAGTGCGGGTCCGGGATGAAAGATGTCCTACGTAGAGGCGTGTTCCTCTATAACGATCATCATACCGCGGCATTTTCCCTAATGTTACAACTGATTAGCATGTAAAACCACATGGAAATTCAAAAACTTTATATCTCAGGATCCGAATTAAATAGCAAACCACATAGTGAGGGATGGACATACATATAAATCATACATTTAGCAGAGTGAGAAATCGACATACGTAGAAAGAGAGACAATGGAATTAAAAGAAGAAGATTGAATGAAGATCAGCGTACCTGAAGATGATCAGAGATGTAAGAACCCTAGATTTTAATTTTTTTTTTCATCTGTTCTCCCAATTTCCCCGTTTTAAGTGGAGCTCAATTGTGTATTTCTTTGACCAAAAAAAAGTCTTCCTTTTATTGGAAAAAGAATTTGGACTCACTTTTTTCTAGGAATGCTAGAGGCCTAGAGTCACAAAATTTATAAATTTGATATTTGCAGGTTTAAATTTCTATTTCTTGAATTATTTAAGAACACTTATTCTTTTAATTATATTCACAAATGGTAAATTTTATATATATATATATATATATATATATATATATATATATATATTGGTTAATATGAGAATGCGATCTTACGAAAGAAATAAGAATGAATGTGCTTTAGATTGTGAGATCTAAGGGTCAAGATTGCATCAAAATTAGGTGCACCAAAATGGTTTGAAAATGCGTCAGGTCGAAATGCACCAAAATCCTTTGAAAATGCACTATCTCAAAATCTAAGTGCAGGATGCAATCTGAGCCGCACGGTGCATCAGATTCAAAAGCTAGATTTTATTCTTATTTCTTTGAGGAAGGTGCATTCTTACCTGAACCGACCCCTATACACACACAAACACACACATTTATGTGTGTATTCTTAATTGTACGACTGTGTGATAAACTTTTTATTTTTGATAACTCTTACAGAATAAAATTTACTTACTCCCTCCGTTCCAATTTAAGTTGTCTGTTTCGATTTACGATGTTTGACTAAAATTATTTTTGAATGATTTTTCATAAAAATGGTATAGAACTAAAGAATAAAAATTATATATTTAAAAACAAGATCAAAAGATCTACAAAACTAGTGGTGACATGATTATATTATTTTATCAAATAAATAATAAAAATAGGAAAAGAAAATAAATAAAATTTGACATTATAAATAATAAACATGTACTTTAATTTAGTACGGAAAGAGTAGTATGGAGTAGTATGTAAGTTTTTTCATTAAGCATTATTTATGCATAAATTTTATGCATGAAAGTTCTGGATTTTTTTTTGTTTTGAATATGATCAACTAATAATAAACCTGTATGTGTTAAATATAAAATGAGGATAAGACAAAAATATTAAGTCAAAAAAAGCAATGGATCTAGCGTTCTTGACCGACTGAGTCACCATGATTTACCTCCTCCACCATCCCTATCGGGCCAGGAGGTGGGGCGCCTGGGATGGGCGATTCCACCTTTGGACCGATAATTTAAACTGATTTTAGTTATGTGAAACTTTTAAAGCTTCTACTTGGTATGTTTTAACACATAAAGTAAATGTGACATGCACGCAAAGTGCTGTTAATCTGGCGAAGCATGACATCAAAATTCTTGGAAGCAAGAAAATAACTTCACTAAAAAACAACTATAGAATGTAAGTGTCATATTTAAATTTTATAACATAAAATTTCTTGTTTTTTAAAAAAATGATCAGCACAAAGACAACTATAAAATATGCATAAATGTCAGTTCTTTATTTTAATTTTTTACATCAATATCAACTATAAAATTTTGTTTTTCTTGATTTTTACCTCATTTTTTATCCCCTAAAACAATAGAATAGAAAGAAGTATGAACTATATTGATAGGAAAAAATTAAGGGGAATGGTCCCTCGGTTTGAGGGGTAGGGAAAAAAATTTGGCAAAAATGTGATCACATTATTTTTAAAAAATAGACAAATTTAGAGCAATAAAAAAGTTGGGAGATAAACAGGCACTTTTCTCGATTGAATTTAATCTAAATTTTTTTCACTTTTAAAGAGACGTCCTTGTAAGTAATTTTGCATCACAACAACCTAAACCAACATTCGAAATCCAAAAAAAATACTCTCTCCGTCCCACTCTCTTTGTCTACTTACCTTTTGGCACACCATCCAATACACTTCTTTAATCCATTTTATCTTGTAATTTGTATATTAAAAAATTATAGAAATTATATATTAATAATCTATATGTTAAGACAAATCAAACAAGATCACACATGACTATATTTAGGCTTACACATTGAGAGAATTTGATGAGTCAAAGTGCTTAGATGAACAGTTCAAAAGTCAAAAGTGGACAAAGACAGTGGGACAAAAGTAGTAAGCTTTAACATTTGTTATCAGGAAGCATTCAATAGTTTTTTGCAATAGGTTGAAAAAGTTGAATGAAAAAAAGGGGGGGAAACAAGGCCAATGCTGGGTAAATAGGCATGAAAGTAAAGGCTATTTGTTATCAGGAAGCATTCAATAGTTTCTTGCAATAGGTTTCCAGCCATTCAGCAGCAGATTTTAGGACGCGGAGCTCACCCCTGAGGACATCGTAAGCCATCTGATGCCTTGAAGCATTTTTGTTAACCGTGTCAAGAGAAGTCATCTGCTCCAATGACTGGACAAAATATGGCAATGGTTAACAAAAGAAACACATAGCAGAGAGAAAAAGAAAAATTGCAAAAATTAATTCGGGACAAACGAAAAAAAGTGGGAAAACTTGTGGGACAGAGGAAGTGTACATGTAAAATGTTTAAAAGAGAAGTATTTGAGTTTGTACCACAAATTATTTTCCCAAAAAACAGAAAAAGAAAAGGTGCAAACATTATTTTGGGACAGATGAAAAAAGTGGGAAAACTTGTGGGACAGAGGAAGTGTACATGTAAAATCTTAAAATTTTCCCAACCAGTATTGATTTTCCTGCATAGTTTTCTAGTGGAAAAAAAAAGAATTTTACCTGGCTTTCCCCCAATTTTGCTACCATTTTTTGGGTTGCAAACACATGCTCATAAAATAGGAGTGATTCTTACCTCAAGGGATGCATCATACAAATAGATTAACTCAGTTATTCTCAAAAGCAGGAATTGATGAGCTTCAATTTCTCTACATGTATCTCTAAGTGGACCCCGAGCCAGACGACCGTCATTTTCTGCAGCTTCTTTTGCAAAATCATTTATTTCTGTGCATATGACAAAATGGTCCTTCCCAAATATTATTAAAAGGACACACTCTTTACAGAAACATGATGCAAGTATAGAGAGTAATAACAAAAACAAAAATTCAAAACCTTGAGGAGATTTTGAGCACAAAACACGAGCATATGCACGGCAGGATTGTGGAATACCCCTCCCTTTACCATGAGCAGACCTTACTTCCCTGGAGGGAAATAACATTTACAAATAACATGCAAGGAAGAAAAGAGGTCATCACAATTCACAACCAAGTAACTAACTCAGAATGCCAGCAAATTAAAGGTGATTATAATTGCATTTAATTCCAACAAGTCAAAAGTGATATTTACCAAGAAACTTTTAAGGCTGACGCAATTGTGAAAATGAAATAAGAGCAATGATCTTTCGACACCAAGCATGGGTGCCATATTAAGCCACCGGGCTATTCTACCCCTACTCACTTGGAAAATGCTGAAATGCTTGGGGGGTTGGGGGGCAGACGGGGTTTGTACTTTGTAGGGGGGTTAGTATGGTAAGAACCACTTCAATGGCCCAAGTGGGGTCCCAGTGTCATATTATGACACCTAAAACAGGTGTCAAGAGAACCGCGGGGATAAAATAATAGCAACGGAGTATAGATTTACCAAAATATTGTTTTTGATCCTATGCTTCCTCATTACTAATCCATTCGTCCTGGAATACGGTTCCACAATTGATAGGGCATGTTTATTAAGAAAGATGAAATTTATATGTTTGTTCTCTACTCAACTGCTTTCTTTTGTTCTCCATCGACTGCTTTTTTTACGATTTCACTTTGTTACATGACCACTTTCTTGTCCACGAAATTGAAGTTATCCGAAGTAGCATCCGACTTTCCTCTCTACTGGGCTTCTTTTTCATCTTTCATTTTGTAGACATGAAATGCAAACATTTGATTACTTTTATAAAATGTACTCCCTCTGTCTGTATTTTAGTCTCATTTTGACATTACATGGAATTTAAGAAAAGAAAATTTGTTTGGTTGAAATTTATGAAAGAGAAATTACATGGACAACACAATTATCACCTCAAAGGGAAATGAGACAAGAAAAAAGGAACCTGGAAAAGGGAAGTGGTAAAAGGGGACAAAGGGAGTATAATTTATCATACAATTACCATTGCTAATATTATTAATTGGCTAGGATCTTCTGACCTTCAAACCTTGGGTCATATTATGACTCAGGCAACTACGGTGCTCCGTTGGTAAAATTGATGGTTCCTACCCCCCAAATTGCCTATTTGGGATGCTAAATCACCGATTTAGGGGGGCTGAGATGGGGTGCGGGGGTGGGGGTAGAAACCATCAATTTTACCAACGGAGCACCGTAGGTGCCTGGGTCATAATATGATCCAAGGTTTGAGGGTCAAAAGAACTGTTGGGATTATTAATTCATTTATTCAAGAATTTATTTCTATGACTCTCAAATGCTTAAATGAATTATATGATTTTATACCTATACTGTACATTTTACATATCAGGCTTATGCCGCTATCACCCTCGATCGACCTCAAGGCTAACGTATATGCTAAAAAAATGCCTGGAAGTGCATTTTGATTTATAAGCCTTTAAGCCATTATTTAATAAATTTTGTAATTGCCACCACATATTTATGTTGATACTTGACACAGTAGAATGACTAGACAATGTCAATAATATGTCATCTCCGTAAAGGGACTCATGCATACTTAATGTCCCTTCTATCATTCTATGTACTTACTAGTCAAGTGTTTGCATGCATCTCGTGGTGAGCCAATAAGAATATAGGCGAATGCTGGCATCAAATTGTTAGAATATGTTTAGGTACCAACTTGAGTGTGAAAGAATTTTCAGCAGAAGTGAATCCCAAGTCATCTGTTATTGTTGGTGTGCAATGTCTGCTTAGAAGTTCCAATTTCATTGAAGAAAGATGGTCTTCTAGAGGTAAATCCAGTTTGACATCAACCTGAGAGTAACTGATGTCAACTATGTTATTGTAAATATGACAACAAATGAGCAATTACAAGAAAACATACAATATAGTAATGTAGAACCAAACTTGCACTGAGCCGTTGTTTGGTTGTACTCCTTTTGCCCCTAAATAAACTTCACTTTTACTATATACTCCGTAGTTTTATTTAAAAGATCAAATTATACCTTCTTTCTTTGCTTATTTTCTTTGCTCATTATTTGATACAATAAAATAGTCAAGTTACCTTTTGAAGTAATTTTAAATATATAAATTTTATTTTTGAATTTGCCACCAATATTTAACAAATTCAATTGAAAATAACTTCGGCCAAGCATCATAAACCGAAATACTCCCCCCCCCCCTCCCAAAAACATTACCCATTTGACTTTCAAGGAGTTTAAGAAAATTAGTTCTCCCCTTTCCCCGTTTCTCCACCAATCCTACCTCTTTTGAACCAAACAAGGGTAATTGATACAAAAGAGGAAAGGTTAATTTGGGCAACAATAAAAAAATATAGCCGGGGCAATGGGATATGATCTTCAATACAAAACGCAGGCAACAGTTTATTATTTTATTTCTTGGATGGACTGTTCATTGACAGCACAGACAGTTTTTAAAAAACCACATGAAGTGAACCCTCTGCATCTTTGACTGTCTGATTTCCTAACTTTATGCAAAAGAAGTGAAAATAGCATGTGAATTATGCAGAAGATGGGTACATATTCATGCTTATAACCTATTCGGTACTCACAGTAAAATGCTGAGGTCTAAGATTGAATATTCATAGATGTTACACTAAATACATAGAACACAATGACATATCATAAAGTAAAGCTTTTCAGGCTCAGCAGTCAGAACTGGATTCTAACCTGGTCATGTGTATTATAAGGAAGTGTAAATCCAAAATCCAAAAGTAGAGTAGCATTTGAGAACTTTCCGTATCTTATTAGGACCTGTATAAAAAGGGTAAATGACTCTGAAAAAGAAATGATATCATCTAGGCTAGAAGCAACAATGATATACTTAAGAGCTATAAATAAAAGTGGAGTAATCTGTATCTGATGATTACATGCTCTTTTAAGTAGGAACTGTAAACCTTAGAGCTATTACTCTATTACGCCAATCTTGGCTTCTATATACGGCAGTGTATTGCATTCCAATATTCCATCAATATCATCGTTAGTAATACAAATCCTATTACACTTTCCTAATTCTAGTTTTTCTGATATTGTTTCCACTATCTCGGTGGCGGTCTATGAACGCCACCTACTAAACTCCTAACATCTCATTATTCAGCCACTCTAAATTTAAGGTTTGAAGATACAACAAAGAAGAATTCGCCCAACAGAAACACTATTAGAGTTTCCCCACAAAGCCGAAGATTTGCACCAATCATAATTCACTCCATTTCATACTTAAACACAAAAGTAGGATGATCAGAACCAGTTTGAATTTTGATATTGAAAAACCAATTGCAAGACAATCATTGCAAATTTGCAACATAAATGCTGCTGAATTTTCATCATTTATAAAAGAGAGGATATGAATTCACACAAAACCTGAGCACCAGGAGCATAATCGCGGTCAGCAATAACCTGTATCTCAAAACATAAAGGTTAAAGTCATAACTCATAAACCTTGTAGAAATAAGGAGTGCAGCTAATATTTCATAAACATGCCGGGGCAAATTTACTTTGATGTCAATGTGGTCACTTAACAATGCTAGTCTTGAAATAATAGTGTCTACACACACATGTTGACATTTATATACAAGTTGACAATGCTTTAGACACCCAGAGAAACTGACTAAATTGGTTGGGGACCTTGATGCACACCAATTCTCCTTTGTGAAAGTTCTACTTTTGATTCCATATAATATTTTTACCTAAATTTGTTTTAATCCTTCTAAAAAAACTCAAGACACAACCCCAACTTTATGCTCTCACTCTTCTGGTTCTCACATGTCTCTTCAAGTCTCTAAGTCAGTGGAATGCCAAACATGGCACGCGACCTGCCAAACACTCACCTACCTCTATGTCTTTGAAACTTGCTCTCGGACCCTCTCGTCAATTGCTACCTCTCGTCCATCTCAGACGACGTCCCTCCATTGCTCTCAGCCCCTCTTGTCTGTCACTATTTTAGGCGTTAGCATATTGCAATTGCAATTAGTGTAAATAGTGTGCATGATCAATCTGACAAACGATGTGAAGGCCTTATTTTACAAAAGCAATCAATATGAGTTGCTCTATTCCTTTACATAAACAACCTTCAGAAGATATATCTGGACTCATTTGAATGCTTCAGTTGACATCAAAGATACTTTTGTCTTTTGGATTGTCTTTTTGATATCATGATGAAAGTGACTCAAAAATGAAAGGTCATCTCCTAACTTTCTTAAAGTTCCTTTCTGAAGGGAATTATATGTGGGTAGTGTTGTTTTAAAAAATGCTATTGGTAATAATCGAATGACTTCCCCTATGATCCAAAAAGATATTGCAATTGTTCATTGTATAAAGAAACTAGTATTTTTTGAGAGTTTTCCCATGACATGTGCAGCCACACCAGTCACACATAGGTGACTTCTTAAGTCTATTTTTTCCCTCTTTCCTTGATCCATTATGGCTACTTATGGATTCTACAAACAGTTCATTTGTTGTTTTTACCTTGGACAAGCTCACTGAACTCGTAAAGTTTTCCTCTTTTTTCTGACTGTCATGTTGATAAAGAACGAAAAACACTTGCTGTATTGATAATGAGCACGCACATTATCTACTTCAAACCATAAAAATTTTGTCAATGCAATGACATAACTGAGCGGTACAAAAATATTGTTTTCAAATACTTCTTGTCCTATGTGCAATAAAGAAAAGGGGGATTAAAAGATAAGTTTCCTTCAACAATCAACATCTGCCAAGTATAGTGCTCCTTTTATTTTTTCTAGTTGTTATATGTGTTCATGAGAAAGTATCGGGATAGACAATTAAACCTCTGAGAATTGTTTTCCATCGTCATTCAGAACTAATGAATCTGAAAGACCGTCATGGTTTAAGAAATCTGCAAATGGAATCTAAGGAAGGGTTAGTACGGACATTTCCATAATGAGCGTCATACATCATAAAATCCAATCCAACCTCTTGAAGAAAAAGCATTGTTGAATCTGCTGATGGATGAGTCCTGACAAACATTTGTCTAAAAATTGTAATTGAGCATTGATCTTATGATTACGTACCATAGAGACACCACTGAAGCTTTCCCATGCTCGAGAAGTAACTGATATGTTTAAAGAGAGCTCATTAAATGATTTATATATGGGAAAAATCGAAAAATGCCAAGCTTTCTTTGAGCTCAGCAAAAGTAGTCTAGAATTGCAAAGAAGTGTGTTGAAACAAAATTTACCTAAAGCGTATGCATACTTAAAGTCATCTAGTGTGATGACCATGTGAAGCTTAGGGAAGTGACACAAAGCCTGGAAAATGTGTATACGAACAACACAAACATCAGTTACATTCCCAGAAAAAAAGTTGCAACTGAGTATCCAACAAACATGTTCTTGAGCTGTAAAGTTCAGTTACCACATGGATGCATCATTGCCGGGAAGGATTAAACATATAAGAAAGATTCCATCATAATTACGACGATTCTTCTAAGTTTGTTCAAGTGATTGACTATTGACCCTCATGTTAAACAGTGACAAGGTTAACAAAATGAACCTATGGTGTATTACGAACTTAACAAAGTAATCTTCTAACTATTCAGAGTAAAAGTAGCCAAGACATAGGCAGAAAGGAATTTGTAGTTGAAACACTGCAACGATTCAACAAACAACAAATTTCATGGAATACTAGTCAGACAATCATAGCAAGTGGTGAATGAAGTGGACTAAGCAAATGATCAAGGATGGATAATTGGTGATAGTCTGATACTAACCTCTGTAATCGCCAAAAAATCACTTTCAACAATTTTCTTCTGCCTAATTGTTTCTCTATATAATGGACTTGGCCGAATCATCTCTAATTCACCATCCTTCCAGAAAATCTGCAGGCGTATAGTTGTTTTTGTAAACTTGATACCCAAAAAAATAATATAAAAAGGAGTCCCCAAGTCAGATAACAGATGTGTGAATAGCATAGATAAGTTTTCCAAATATATAAACAAGGAAGTTTTGCAAATATATAAACAAGGTTCCTTCCTCAGTTCCTTATAAAAACAACAACAAGCCAGTAAAATCCCACAAAGTGAGGGGGTGGGGGGGGGGGGGGGGGGCGTTGTGTACACAAACCTTACCCCTACCTAGAAGAATAGAGATGTTTCCAAGAGAAAAACAAAACTATTGGCACTATCAATTTGTAGATGTGAACCTTCCCAAGTTGTTCTATAACATGTGAGTGTTATTTACCGTGTTATGCATCTCTGCAGGTTGTGGAAGACGCCTAATATAAGGAGCCCATTCAGATTTCTGGAGGCAATATGGAAAAACACAGTAATCAATTGGTGTTATCCATGCTGATGTACCAAAGTATAAGTATAAGACACAAACAGAAGCTAATGTATGTGACAACTTTTACCTCACCAAGCTTCTGCTCATATAAAACAAGTAAAGCAACTTTTGCCACATTGCTGACCTGGTCCCCTAACAAGGAATTGATTCTCAAAGGAAGGTTATTTGATGACACTTGCTGCATTTATATTGTTATAGTGTTCATCACTCAATAGTTGATATGAAACATGAATATATACAAGAACATAAAAACTGAATAACAAATAGAATACCACGCTATATGGAACCTTCAATATACAATCCCCAGCTTTTATATGCGTTCGAGCAAACAAAGACCTGAATACTCAGATCATGAATACAAAAAAAATGTTAATGGTCTAGCGGACACCTAGTCAACTAGTTGACAGTAGTCAATAGGTCTACATATGTAATATGGAGTACATTATAAATTGCTACAAAATATGGAGTATGATATGTTCTCTTTGCCCCAAAAAAAACTCCTAGTTACTATCCACATGTCAAACTAACTGTACTTTCTTTATACATTTCCACTGATCATTTGATAATAAAAAAACCTTGTCATTGTTTTTTAGAACTTTTGATGTCATTTTTTAATATATAATTTTTATATTTTAATTCTACGCCAACTTTTACTTATATTGATTTGAAAATAACTTCAGCCAAACATTGTAAACCGAACAGGAGCCTTATTTTGGGACAAAGGGAGTATCACTATCATATTTATGTATTTCAAAAACTCAACAACAACAACCCGAATTCTGTTGTATCTCAATTTGTACTGCCCCATCATAGGTGATGCATGCAATCATGTTAAGAATAAACTCAACCAAAACTTCAAGCTTGTGGTTTAGTTTTTTTAACTAAGTGGTTGTAAGGTTCGAACTAAAGACCTCGTGATCAGCATTCAACAAAGTTTTGATAATATATACAAGAACCAACTCACACAAAGCTCAAGCTTGTGACCCGAGAAAAGTTTTATACTGTAAAAAAATAAGGATTACACCCTCATCTATTATGACTTTCTCAGTCCAATAAAGATTGAATTGAATCACATGATGTATGTCTGTATTTATTCAATTTTTTTGCATGGTTCCTTAAAAGAGAAAGGAGGGAGTATATCTTAAAAGTGTTAGGACCTTCCGAAAGTGGATTCTCCTATGGAAAGGGCAGAAGATATCTCTGTTCCGGCCTTCAGCTCCAGCCACTGCAAGAAATCGGCGGTGAATTCTGCGTCTACCTGTGCTGGGGCCTGCAGTGCAGAAAGCCAAACACATGTTCAGAGCTGCAAGGAATACAGTTAAAATGTGAGATGTGCAGTGTGAGATGAGTGAGTCGTGCTAACTTTAGACGGAGAAGCTGATGGTATGAAGGAGTATGGTTTGCAGCGGCAGGGGCGGCGGCAAATGAGGCTGTCCAATATAAGAGGGCGGCGATGCCGAGCCCGCCAGGTGTTTGATATTGTGCTTACGCGTATGGATATCATTTTGAATTTGTGCTTTCAGCCGGTTCAGTTTTTGTGTTAGGTAGCAGCAGCCAGCCGCCCATTCACATTTCAATGACTTAGAATTGACAAACTTATGTAGTCAATTTAAGGGTGTATTCAATTCTGATTTTAACAGATTCTGATACATTGTTTAAAATTTATGAATTTTGTGAAATTCATGAATTGTTTTAAATCTGTGCAGAGTTAGATAGCTTGTAGTGTAATTTATGAGAAAGATTTTATAAGATTCTAAAAGATTTTTATAATCCATCCCCACAAATACTCCTCCAGTGGTGCAATTCGTTCTCTTCATGGGAGTCCACAACAGAAATTCAGCAAAAAAACCAAGCAAGAAGCAGAGCAATTTGTGCTCCAAATACACACCATGAATAGTGACTTCGTATTCTCCATAAATCCTCAAATCTAATGAAAATTCAAATGGATATAAAATCCACCTTTATACCTTGAAAGAGGAACAAAAATCGCTCATAATCCCCAAAAGTGTAGCCATCAAAGGTGCTTGGATTGTAGTGAATCGAGAATTAGAAAGACTTTGTTCATCGAATAGAATTAGAGAGACTCCAACTTCCATATTGAGAGAGGCGGAAGTGGTGAGATCTGGTGGCGGTGAGAAGAGGCTGTGGAAAGGAGATGGAACGGAGCTTTCATGATCGCTAATGAAGAGGAGTCGGAAAATGAATCGTACCTGATACAAGAGGGGAAGATGATAGGAGTCGGGCAAAATCTCTCCTTTGTGGCTGGGATTTGTAATAAGATTTTTATTTATACTTAAGCCTACAAAATCTTACACAATCCATATGGAACAAAGATTCTTTAAAATCTAACAATTTTTAAATACCATTAGATTTTTAAAGATTTTTCATTATCTCAATTGAATACATTTAGATCTTAAATTATTTTTTAAAATCTTAATTGAATATCCACTGACTTTTAAAATCCAAAAAAATCCATCAAAATCCATACTGAATACACCCCCCTTAGATTTTAGAAGATTTTGATAGACTATTTAAAATTTATGTATTATGTAAAATCAAAAAATTATTTTTAACTATGAGAATTAGATAGATTTTAACATATTTTAAAGTAAGATTTTATAGAATTTTGTATGATTGTTTATTATCAATGGATTATTCTTTTTTAATTTCATAAGAAGAAAATCGAGGGTAGGTTCGTCAATTTTAATAAGACATCTATGACATTGTCGTTATTAGTTCAGTAAGTTTGACTCCAAAGTCAAATAAACTTGGAAGGTGCAATTGAAGGGATGAGGGTGGATTCGGATTAGGGGGTGGGTTTTGTCGAGAGTTGGGAGGGGTACGAATCGTCAATTTTATAAATGGGACACCGCACGACCCCGGGTCATACCATGATATTCCCGGACAATGTCACATGAACCGCTCCCTGCATTGTACTCCGGGTAATATACTCCCTCCGTCCCAAAAAGTCTTTCACGTTTCAAACAAATTGTGTTCCCAAAAGTCCTTCCCATTTCTTTTAAAAACTCATTTTTACCTCTTACTTTTTCATACCTTACATATCACATCATATCTTTTTCCTAACAATCTACACATCACATCTTACTTTTACTCATCACATCAAAAGTATTTTTGAAAAATCGACACAAAACTATTCCTCTCTTATTTTACAACTTTAGTCAATATGTCTCTATCTTTATGAGACAGATGGAGCAGTTATTAGTACTCAAAAAAATTGAACGGTCATGTAAGATCTAAGGCGCTGCCAACTCTCCTAATCAATTAGTGCTGAAAGAAGATCATAGTCTAACCTTGTAATGCATTCAACACATACAAATATCCACAATATTCGAGGGTGACTTAGCCCACATAGCCTTGCCAAGAGACAATTGATTATGCATGGCCAAAAACCCTCAACAATTACTCCCGCTGGGAATATAACTCGTAACCTTAACTTGGCTTTGACATAACTTGTTGTATCTCACACGCTACCCACTCTTCTATAACCAACTAGAGTTAGAAGAAACGTATATCATAGCTTTATAGTGTATTCAGCATACATAAACACTCACGACATTTAAGTGTGACTTGGGTCACGTAGTCTCTATCACAAGACAATTGATGGTTATTGTAGCCAATCCACAAAGAATGGAAAGAAAGAGGGTTGGGTTGGAGGTTTAGATGTGGAATCCACCAATTTTGTGAGGGGAACACTGTAGGTTTTTCAAATGCATCAGCATCATCAGATGACACCAAATGAAAGTATGAAACCGGCCTCTTTTTTTTCATAAAAACCAATAATCAAATCGAAAGTGATCAAATTTTATTAAAAATAAACCGAATAAAAAAGAACCCGTTTGACTTTGTACCATGGTAGAGTTGTGTGATATTGTCGAAACTATTTGGGCACTTTAAAGGGTTAGGTTTATGGAGTTTCTAATGTAATTGCTGGTTAGGTTCATGGAGTTTCTAGAGATGGGGATGGGCTTGTGTTGGGTGCGATCAAGGAGCATCATTCACGGCTTGTAGGGGTGTCAACTGTGACGCTTTCAGATGCTTTGCCGATGCCACCCTATCTCCGTCTTTGAGTAAAGTGTCATATGGGTGTGTAATCTTTAATCCCTCGGGTGATTTTTAGGCGGCGATGAATGGCTTAATGGATTGTCCTTTTGACCACTTAATGGCAGAAGCTATGGCTTGTCGGGAGGCGTTGTCTTGCCTGAGACAAAGATAGATTGTGGATGTGGAGCTCAACTCGAATTGTTAGAATGTTATTCATGCACTAAAGAACACATCTTCTACTTCCATTGATTATTTTAGTTCTGTTATTGAGGAGTGTCTGTTCTTAGGTGTGTGTTTAAATGTTGTTAATTTCTCTTTTTATTTCTCGCTCTTTCAACACTATAGCTCATGATATGGCTAGAGTGTCGGTTTGTGGCTTTTTGGACATCTTGGTATGCGATATACTCATAGTACACAATCTATTGGAAGTGGGTGTTGGAGTAAAGCTCCCTTGCTTCGTATAAATACATGAGTTAGGAGTGAGTACAGATTGGGAGAATCTATTGCATTAAATGTCCAAGTACTCTAAGATTTGTTCAATCTAAAGCATTAAATGACCCAAAGTAAATTAACCTCCTAAAAAGTAGTGAAAGACGTTTAATTATCGTGCACGCACTGCCCAAAAAAGTAATTGTCATCATTACCATCAAAACTGAAAAAATAGTCCAATACAACCCACCCTTTAACCGCCCTCTGGCCGCCCTAAATAGTAGGTTTAATCAATTGCAGCAAAATGGAAATAGAAGCCCAACATACTACCAGCCCATCACGTCTGACCCGGCTTATTAGCTTTCGGCGGGAACACTATTTATTTTAGGCTCCTACCATTGTATAAATATAGAATATAAATATAGATAGATTATTTTTTTAATGAAACAAATTTTTTAATCGTAGGCAATACCAGAGTACATTATTTTGGAAGGAAAAAAAGAACAAAGAAAAAAAGGAAAGGATTTTAATTTTAGGACGAAGGGACACAGGAATTTAACACCACTCAAATAGGGAAGAGATGCCAGCCGTCGGACAGTTTGTATTGTACCCTTCTACATACGGTGTTATACGCATATATTATTCACACATCGACCCCTTTTCTCTTTTCTTTTGATTTTTGTTGCAAAATCAATTCTTTTTTCCATTGAAAATTCATCATCTCAACTTGTCTCCTTCAACACAGAATGATCTAATGTCCTCTGGCTTGTTAGTGTTCTCTTCAGGGTTTTGAATTTCTCGATTGCGAGAAACTAGGGTTTTCTCTTATTAAAATCACATCCAATTTGTTTAGTTGATTGTGGTTTGTTAACTGTATGGAGAATACTAGATGACCAGACGATGAATCAAGGAGGCAGTGCTATGAACACCGCAACTGCGTTCGAACCAATCCCACAGGAGGTAAATTCCAAAACTTCATCTCGGGACGCTTTGAGTGGAATCGAAATTTGCTACTCTAGTATGTTAATTGAGCTGGAAGAATGAGCTGATAGAACCCATAGCGTTTAATAAGAGAGAATGATCATTGATCATCTTGGATTATACTTATGTTTAAGCTGAGCAATAGATGGGTGATGCGTGCTGGAGTTCATAATTTTAAATTTTGATGCTCCATACTTCCCAATCAATCTTCTCACTTGTTTTAGCATGCATATTAAGAAAAAAGGAATTGTTTAGTTGATTTTATTTTGAAAGGAAGGAAAAACATGCAACCACACATTTTTTTATTTAAAAGGAAGTGAGAAGTTTATTTCGGTACAATTAGGAAAGGAAAGTGAGAGGTTTAGTATGGGTTAGAGGGAGTAGTTCTGCATGATCATCTTTCTTTTGGGGTATAAAATAATTGTGTATGTTTTATTTTATCCATTTTATGTCACCCAGGGATCATATTTTAAGTCACAATACAAAAATCATTAATATTTAATGAAAATTGGCTGAATCATTTTTATTTCACATCTTTAGAGCATCTTTATTTTTATATGTATAATTGTATATTCAATGGCACGTGAATTGTTCCATCCATGCTGTATTGATGTGGATTCAGAGTTCCATTGTATTGTTAATTCATGCATGTTGTGGTTTTAAACTTGCATGCTATTTTCTGTCATTGTATTTTCATGTTGATGGGATGTATCCCAGTCCATGTTTGAACAATACTTCCATTGGTGTAAAAAACAGTACTTTCATTGGTTTTTCCCTCCTTTTCCAAGTATAGTTCCGAATGATTACCATTTTTAACAAAGAAGTTATCAGTTTATGATTAGTACACAAGTCCTGCAAATTTAGATTCTGTTTTTAAAAGCTTTTATCATACTTCTATCATGTCTATATTTTTTTCCTATACACTGAACCCCTTGGTACATTGTACATATAGTTTCTTCCAATGAAATTAGGAGTATAATTTTTTTTGAAATTATTTATATTTTTTAATGAAGTATTTCTTCATTTTGGCCAGAAAAACCAAGTTGTTGATGTAAATCAACAATACACATCCTCCTATTATGCCCCTCCTGGCTCTGCATCAGCATCATGGGCATCAAATGTGGCGGGTAACTACAATACACAGAATGGAGTTATTCCAAGTACCAGTTATGACCACAATCAAAGAGCTGAGGTGACTTCTGGGAATGTTCAAGATGGCTATAATTTGACATCTACTAGTACTACTACAAGTTCAGCAGTGACAAATGTAACTCAGGATTACAATAATTATGCCACTTATACATCCACTGATCCATATAGCTACAACACTGCAGGATATTCGAATTACTACAATGGCTATCAACAACAAGCTAATCAACCATATCCCCAACCGACAGTAGCATATCAAAACACGGGTGCTTCTTATCAGCCTCTTTCTTCATATCAGAATACAGGATCTTATGCTGGCGGTGCAAGTTTTTCAAGCACTTATTACCACCATGCTGATTATCCGACATCAGGAGCTTATCCAAGTAGCGGAGGCTACCCAAGTAGCAGCTACAGTAATCAGTATGGACAATATGCTCAATATCCATCTCAACAGCATCCTACTCTAAACTCTTCTCAACCATACCATACTGCAGATTCATCTGCTGGATACAGTTCTGCAACTTCTGTATCCAGTTCACAACAATATCAACCACCGTATCAGCAGTGGGGAGGGTATTACAACCAAGCTCAGACAGAAGTTAGTTGTGCCCCTGGAACAGAAAACCTTACCGTTTCTAATG